GTGTGTGTGTGTGTGTGTGTGTGTGTGTGTGAGAGAGAGAGAGAGAGAGAGAGAGAGAGAGAGAGAGAGAGAGAGAGAGAGAGAGAATCCAAACATGGTTTGAAGGCAGATGAAGTAGCAACTTGTTGAAGCTAAGCAGGTCTCAGTTTAGTCAGAACCCATAGCTGGTCTGCATGTGTGTGGAGCTCGTTTGCCCCCTGCGGTGCACACTGGATAAGTACGCAAGCACAAACAGAGTGAACTAGCAATTGCAGGCAGCCAAACATCTACTCTGTATTAGCATTGTAGACTCCTGGCTAATTGTTCCATCTCCATATGCTACATAAATAAGTCAGAGTTCAGATGGGAGAACGCTTGAGAACCTGAAGTGTACTGCTGGAGCTGTATTATGGCAAGAAGGACAAGCTGTATAAATAGGATAAAATAAAAATATATGCACATTTCTCTTCTCTTCCTTTTTGATGGACTTAGCTATTGGTTCATTTGTGGCACATCCCGTTGCTTGTATCCCTTAAAATAATTTGTGATGATATAAGTTTTGGCAGTGGCCATTGTTTTGGGTGTGTGCCCCTACCATGCCTGAATGTATCCTTGTCGTGCTACTTGCCAATTTCTTCATTAGCACCATCTAGTTATTGTGCTATCTTGCTCCAGCATTGTGGCAGCACAAAACACATCCTGTTTGAGAGCAAGCTGGCTTTTTAAATTTCTGTAGGACTTCCTTTGACCAAATGGTACAGGTCTCCAGAGTGCAATTTCCAGATCTCTTTGCTCGATAATGTGCATATACGCCATCCAAAAGGTTGCTGTACGTGGTGGAACCACATGTCTTCCTGCATTATATGCAGTAATCTAGCTTTGACCAACATGGTGCCCTCCAGTGTTTTGGACTTGAGTTTCCATCAGCCCCAGCCAGCCAGTGATGAGATATAATGGAAGTTGCATTCCAAAACACCTGGAGGAGACCATATTAGGGACGGCAGCATCCCATAATGGATTCAGAATGTGCAGAAGGCGCAAATGGCCTTTGTGGTACCAATCCCTTGTTGCAGATCGGTGTGGCAGCGGGAGGACTGCAAGCCAGTGGCTGTGCTTGCCCTAGCTGGCCACAGGACCCGTTTGACTGCTGTAGAGATGCAGCCTCTTTCTGTATGTGGGGAATCTGTGCCTCAGAGCTGAGGTTTAAGGCCACAGCTCTCAATAGCAGCTTCATGTGGCTTCCTTGGGAAATACCTTAAGCAAAACCTCACAGTGTTCCTGAGATATTTACAAGGCTCCCTCCAGTGCCATAGAGGTATTCTAGTGGACCTGTGCAAAATCACAGACAGAACTACAGTTCTCTTATTATGTCCTGGTACTGTATGTAGGAATGTGAACGGGATCTATTCACTGCTGACATTGTAAGGGCATCAGCCTGCTCACTTCCATGACACATGGAAGCTGCAAACCTTTGCTGCCTCTCCTGCATCTGTACTTATTCTGATAAGTCGTAAAATACGACTCTCCTGTTATAGATATGAAGTTCACAACTACCAGTGGGTCTGGGTTTGGTTGGTTCTTAACAGAAGGGGCTGTGGCAAAATCTGGAAGGTTTTCAGCTTTTTGGGCTCACTGCTTTATTATGAAAATTGTTATTAAATAGTGTGCTACCCACTGTGAAAACAAAATGTGTTTTTATTAATTCCCGTATCTTTTCTCCTCACCTAGCAGAGCCAGTTTGACTGGACTGAACTACCCTTGTGGGATCTGGACCTCTTTCTCAATTTCATAGATATATTAGAAGACTCCCTTAGCTGGAAGATGCTTCTTAACACTGCTTTGAGTCTTCCATCTATGTAGCCAAAACTGTGCCAGCCACACACAAGAGGTAATGGCAGATTTGCAAGGTTTGCTGATCTTCAGGAAAACACTGAAAGTTGGGAGGGAACCCAAAGCAGCACAGTAGCTCAGTGGCATGAGGTGTTGAAAGGCTAAAGGAAAAAATGGGTGAGTGGGGAAATGGAACAAAGTGTCTAGCAACTGAGAAGAGGCGCATAGATACATAAAATATAGAAAGATCTCTCACTAGCTGGAGAGGTCACTTCGTCGCTGAAAGAAGTTATTCTCAGGGACAGAGGTAGCTGCTGAAGTGCCATACCAACAAGCTAGCGCTACACTTTCAGTTCACCATAAATGTAAAAGAAAAAGGGAGATTCAAGTTTCTTGCTATATTTATCAATGTGTCAGCTCTGTCACCAAAAGTACCTGGAGCTTTCATGTAGAACCCAAGAAGGAAAGTTGCACCTTATCCCTAGAAAAAGTAATTTTAAACTTGATGACCTACAGTGGTGGCCACAATACTACAGGTGTTAGGCATGCCCACAGAACGCACAGTCACCACCAAAAGAGCTTGTATGGAGATTCAGGACACACTTGGAAAGAGAACACCACAACTATTACTGTGCTGTGTCCCATTTCTTTACTTTCACAAATAAGGCAGAAACTGTGGCTAAAGACCTTAATTCATCATTGTTCAATTTTTCTATTGCAGTTTTCACTTTTTGAACCGAATATTACACCGGGCTGACATATACTTTTTACTCACTGAAAAACTGCTGGGATCACAGTACAAAGGATATTACATTAGAACCCCTGCTACCCAAATGGCCATGGAAGTATATCCATACAGAAAGAACACTGCTCTGGAAACAGGTTTTGCTATTCTGCTTCCATTTGATGCAGATTGGTACAACTATGCAAAATAGTTAGGCAAATGCTGGCCTAATCTGTATGACAAAACCACCCACTGTGGCTAATTTACTGCCGGGAATCCCATGTAGTGCCAGGTGACCACAAATACCTACAGGTGCTCAGCTTGCCATACTGTGAAAACACAGGCTGCAGGGTATGAAAGTTACACCATCCTCAAATAGCCCATGGATTGTTTAGGGTTATTTAAAAGTTGTCTAACCCTCACAAACCCTTGCTGCCTGGTTTTGCAGCAAGCCAGGCAGCTGCAAGTGCCAAGCAGAAATGGTGCCTGTGGACACCAACAGGATATGACAGCCCCTGCGGGTAAACTAAACCATAATCAGCTGTTGTGATGTGCAGACAGCCACATTCATTCTCGCTTTAACACACCCCTGTCTCATTTTCTTAGGAAAATCTAAGAAATGTGGTATTTTCAGGTGAACAATATTTTGTCCAAGCAAATCACTTACAACGAGATGGCATGCATAAGGGATGGCATACAAGTTTTAAACGAACAAACAATGATGGCACTATTTAAACTTTTGTTTAATGGGGCTTATCAATTCATACAAGTTAACCCACTTTCACATCTTCAGAGTACAAAATAAGATCCTTACCTATAGGTACTAACAGAAGGATTTAAATATTTACTACAAACTTTTTGCAACTGGTCATTAAAATTCAACAGTTGAAAAGGAGCACAAGGCTTACAAAATAAATATGTAAATATAACCTCTTGGGAGTATTTCTAAGAATATCCCTTTTAGTGGATTAAATGAACAAGGAATAGATGGCAACGAACTGTTACTATGGGATTTACAAAAATTTGACACATTCCTGGACTGACCTTTTATTGCTTTGCCTTTCAATACATATCAGGGCAGTATCATGTTAGGCATTGTGGTGCATCAAAGTTGGCCTAGATCCCTTCCTGCCTGCCCCATGTGATTTTGAACTTGATGTAATAGACAGAAATGAATGAAAGCTTTGGAGGAGGCTAAATCTGGTACGCTTAATCCAGAGTGTAACTTTGCCTAAACACAAGGGAAGTTCTCTCTCAACCAATCCTGTCAAAAGCTTCCATATAGTGGTGGTGTGAGTGGGTACAGGGCCAAATGGACAAGTTAACCAGAGCAGAAAAGGCCACTGTTAAAACTTATGCTAAGTTGTTGCAAGCATCTCTTCAAAGGACCAAGGCAGTGAAAGACAAGCATAAAGAACCGGTTGACATCCATTATCATGTGAGCAGATATATGCTTGTGCAATAGGCTTGCTTCCTTCTGCCATGCTTCCCCAAATCTGCTCTGGAGGGTCCCCCAATTTTTTGCTACAGATGGGGGGGGGGGGCTAGGGAGATGCAGCAGATCTGGAGAAGGGAAGAAGTCTTTCCAACAAACATGTCTGTTTTTTCGGTGTGAAGACACAGCTGGATACAACTCGACATCAAGCCATAAAAGCAATTTCTCTGTATGAACAAAGGGAGAAAGGTATGACAAGCAGTATCCTTGCGTTTGAAAGGCAGTACTAACATTCTAATTGTTTTGTAAAACCCTGTCCTGTAACAACTTCCTAAACTAAAACACGCTGAACATTCATGAAAAGAAACATAGCTGAAAACAGATTCCATTAGCTCTTATGAGCAATGCTTCATTTGAGAGGTGTCGGTACCTTGGTGGGCATGGAAGATATACTCAAGTAATTATATTAATATGTCCTGTTGGAAGTCAGCTGAATGTCAGACTTAAATACATATTTTAATTTGGCACTTTTTCCTGAATTTAAAAATAAAAAGGCACAATATTGATGCATTTCTGGCTGCAACAAAGTAAGCCTTCCCTATGACTTCCATGAGGAGGAAAACACATTTTAAAAGCAAGTTGTGTTTTCTCAAATTTTGGCAGCTGCTTTGCCTTGGTCTACCTAGCAGCACTAAAGCTGCACTGAACAAACATTTCATGCTTACATTTTGTAAAAAATTAAGTTGGAGACCTAAAGAACTCGACTTGTCAAATGAATGTCAGCCATAATTTAGAATGTAGGTTCTTGCTGTAACTTGACCTTCCAATAAATTTGTGCAGCCTTTGGTATAAATACTTGTGAATACAAAACAAGAATATTTACCCAGATTTTTCAGGCCATTGCCAGAAACTAGATTCAAGAACATTTTATCAGATCTAATAGAGAAGCGAGAGAAGGGAAAAACTACAATAAATTACCTAGAGCAAGATGTGCCATCTTATTTGAGAAAACCACATTCAGTATTTTGGAGCGATCTATTCTAGTGGTATGCTGCCAAGGAAATATATCAGGTTAGAGAACACTATCTCCCCCAGCCAAATACACAATGACCAAAGGTGGGCACTGGGATCTGTAGAAAATGGGAAGAATATTAAGGCTTCCTGGGGAATGAACCATTTAGAAGTACAGTACCATCTGAATAAGTGCCACGCTGCAAGGAATGCATGAAGGGGAGAGGAATGCCTATGGCAGAGACAGAAGGTGTGCACGGGCATTCAAAACGATAGGGAGGGGCAAAAGAGCTGAGCCAGCTTGAAGAGTGCCAAGTACTTGGAAGGCCCGGCTACAGGGAAAGGCTGAGGAAATCCTTCCACAAATATTGACCCAGTTAAATTACTCTGAAACCTACTTCAGACTGAGAGTGCAGATTGATTATATGCGTTTTAGTGTTTTGGGAAGATAGTTGATATCATCTGAGGGGAACTGCTGTTCACACAGTGGGATTTTCCCCCTCCCTTTCCCTGCTCCCCCTGCAGCCTTTCTGAAATCTGTTCCAGATAGTACGTCAACCCACAGAAGATTTGGGGTGGGAAGGCTGAAGGGAGGCTGAGAGTGAACTTTTCCCTCTAGTGAATAGATCCAGTTAGATCCAGTCCGTGGCTGTACAAACATTTCCCAAAGTTTTCTGTTCAGAAAAGTGTGTCAAATATTTCACATTTCCTATTACCTGTTTAATATGAGGGTTTATTTTTCCTCACTTTTCCAAACAGCCCTACATTAAAACTGCATTAAGTGCTGGGTCCAGAGAGAGACTGTCTTATGTGTCCTATTCATTTGCATAGAATGCAGAGTTCAATATTATTTTAAAAAATCAGAATTACTCTCAAATTGGGCCACTGAAAAATATCAATAGCCAAATAAAACATTATATCATGGGAACGGAAGAGAGATTAAAAGAGTGATGAATCTTCGCCTAAACTGACTGTGTAATCTGAAACCCACTTTAACTTACAGAGACATGGGTGAAGAGTAGTTTTCTCTTCAAAATATGGGATGAGAACTGAATTCTTCAGTTAAGACAACTCCAGAAATATAGGTTTGAGGGGAAAGAGAGGACACTGGAAGCACCAGCTGCGAGCATTCATTATTCCTGTGCAGTCCATGGGCGCTCTCAGAGTCTACAATACTCAGCAGATTATTGTTGCGATGGAACTTCCTCCACAGCCAATGATGCTATTCTATATTCACCAAGGTGTGAAAGTGAGGGCTGAAGCGAGTCCGTCTGGGTGTGCAACACAGTGAGATCATGCAAAGCTGTGGCTATGGGGACTTCCTGGGACCCTGCTGTGCCCCCTGATTTGCAGTCTGTTACTGTGGGGGATCCACTTTCATGCAGAGCAGTTATGCTCCCCTGCACAGGAGCCAGACTTTGATAGTGTCCATTTTCAGACAACGACAGCAGCTTCTCTGTTATTTTGCAACGAGTCACATCATACTCTTCATCAGGAAGTTCTGTCTTATGATCTTCATCATTCTTAGAGGCTCCTTCAACGACTACAAGAAATGACTTCCAGGGTGTGTTCTTATCATGAATCTGCGGGGGTGGGAAAAACATACAAAATCCGCTATTGGCATTCATGGTATTTCAGAGCGCATTGTGCTCTTCTCATCCAGCTAGTTAACACTGTGCACAGACCACTAACTTGGTGCTTATTACTCAAGAAGTTAGCCACTTAACTACTCTCCTTGCAACCCATTTTGGTAAGGTATAGATTAATAAATAAAATCAAATAAAACAGTATGAATGACAGTTCCCCTTTGAGATTTATATTAAGCAAAAAGGAACCTAGGTCCAGCAACCTAAGCTTGCTCCTGGATAGATTAAAACCCATTTAAAAATGGCTGAAGCCATTAAAATATAAACAATTCATTCTGAGCAGCCAGGAGAGGGGGGAAGAGTCAAACCTGCTGAACTCAAAAGTAGAAGCAAGTCAGACAAGCTTGCAGTTTTACTCATTTAATTTATGAATAAATTACTCTCCCCATTTAAACCAAGGAATAGCTTTTCCTTTAATCACTTTTGAGATTTCAGGTTGCAAGAATCATGCTATATAGCTTTATGCATTACGTTCCCATGAGACGACCACTAGGAAAAACTGATGTATACCTGGGCATCACATTAAGTCCCATTAAATAAACAAAAGGAGGAAAGAGTGTTGGGACTGGCAAGCTTGGGGGTCTATCACCCCTCTTCCAGTGTACTGAATTGCCATGGCAATCATGGAATCCCTGCTTTAGTAGCATCTCTAATCATGTACCCAGCAATTCACTTACATAAGGCTTCTTCAATGCAGGGAAGTGGAAAGAGTCTTGGTTAAGATTTACACACAAAAGAGCCATTCATTAGAAGCTCCACTTCTGCTGTCACTCTTCAGATGACAGCTAAGCTCTCTCATGGAGTTCACACTGAGTTGCCCACCCCTTTCCTTAAGTTTATCATGAATATGTACTTCTAGAAAGTGTAACATGAGATAGCTCCCCATAGGAGAGGTACCTCTTCCCTTCCTTACCGAGGTGTGCCGCCGAAGAGTAGATTTGTCAGTAAACGTTCGCCCACAGGCATTGCACATGAATGGCTTCTCCCCAGTGTGGATCCGATGGTGGCGCTGCAGGGCATTGAGCTGAGTAAACTGTTTGCCACACTGATCGCAACAGTAGGGACGCTCACCTGCAACCCAAAGCACACAATTTCTATTGCATTTTAGCTGCATTCTTGCAGAAACCCTGGATTACTATTTGAAGGTAGGCAAGGATAGCAAGAATTCACTAGAGAACATTTTCAAGATCCTGAGCTTGCCTCAAATACACCTTAGGATAAAGAAAAGTACAAGTAGTCTGTATAATCCAAAACTCAGTTGATATGAACAGGGCCTATGATTTCTATGGAGCAATGTCAGTTTATCACCGGAGGTGGCTGATCATTATGAAAGCACTGCTGATCAATTTTACTCCCCACCCCCATTTCAAAATCTATCTATATAAATCTGGTATATCACTGATACTGCACTGCATTCTTCTCATTTCTCACATTGAGGAGGTGTTTGATATCACCTGAAGTGGTTAAAGGTATTATGCATTATTTGTGAAGTGGCTAAAACACAAGATATTCTACGCAAATTACAAGACCTGTTCAATTGGCTTACAACCTACGTTTTAAAAATAATATTTTTAATTAACTTAATAACAATAGGTAACTAATAAAACATAAATCACAATAAAGGAAAACAGCATAATTTGAGGATACAAGGTCTAACAGCAATGAACCTGAAGAATGCCAAAACTGAAAATAGAAGAAAAAAATTAGAGAAGAAGGTTAAGCAGGAGCTAGAAAAGGAATATGTTTGAAGGTAAGTGAAAGAATCTTAAATTGAAAACCAAGAGAAAGTGGTAGCCAGTGATAAGCAATTTGTGCAGAAGCGAAATTTCCACTTTCCATTTGTGAAGAGGAAAGTGGAAGCAGAAGCAAAACACAAACAAAAGGCTTAAGCTGGGAATAGAAAAGAAGAACTAAAAGAACAACACAGTGGAAGAAACAACCAAGGAGGAACTACCATTTTTAGAGCAGCTAAAAGTACACATTCAAAGCTGAAGGACAAGAGAAGAAAATATTCATCTAGTACCACTGGCAAGATGCAAAATTCCCTTAACCATTCCATCATCTTCTCACCTCCCATTCCCTGTATTAATGTAATCACATTTCTTCCAGTAATACAATTTGATGCTGAGAGACCCAGCAGAGTGGTAGCAAGTCTGTGAGCTAGGATTTTAAATCCCATGTCCAAGTTCCCAACGTAGGCAGCTAATCATGGAAGTTTCCCAAGCATGGTGGACAGCTCTCATAACCACAAAGTGACCGTGGAACTGCACGCCTGTATATGCAGGACCTGAACAAACTTCTCAGCAGACTGTAGTATCTATTGCTAACTGGAGGCTAAAATGCCGGGGTTAGTGGCATCTCTGTGTAGACAAAGAACAAGCAGGAACAGTCCCATAGACTGGGGACCTGCTAATCCGAGCCATGGAAGTACATGTTCTAATCTGACAAAACAGATTAGTCATGTGAACAGGGAAAACGGAAAAAAGCAGGAACCAGAAGGGCAAGTTAACTGAGGAGAAAAAGGACAGATCAGCTGATGATAGAGTCCAGAGGCTAGATAAATGTGCAGGGTTGTAAACACGGAAAAGCCAGCTATGTCTCTTGGAGATGAGGCAGCTGACAAAAACCGTCTGCTGAAGCCTGCACAAAGCATGACTGAGGAGCCTTGTGTTTTACCAGAGATATGTTCAGGATTATAATCTTTTCTCTCCAGGTCAGCTTTTGCCACAGTTTTTGAATACTGCTAACAGAATGACCAGGGAAGGTAACATTTGAAGGTTTTGAAACATTTTGGTTTATAAACAGTAAGCATAGATATTAAGAATAGGTCTTCCCAGAGAAGGTTTGAAGGCAGACCTCCCCCACATCAAGTGTGACCTTTTACTTCCTACCTGTATGAACTTTGATGTGCTGATACAGCGAATTCCTCTGTGCAAATGTTCGGAAGCAAACTTCACATTTAAACGGCTTGGACCCAGTGTGGATGCGATTGTGGTGTTTCAGATACTCCTTAGAGGCAAAGCTCTTCCCACATGTTTCACACATGAAAGGTCGTTCCCCTATACCACACAGGAATTGGAGGAGAACAATGAAAAAGGTTATTTTAAGCCACTGACTGTAAGCACAACAAGCAGGTGTGGGAGTAACATGATGGGATTCAGAACACTGAAATCACGTCAGCCATGCAGATTTCCCTTTGCAGCATTTCTGGTTTTATTCTCTGAGCTGCAGATCCAGTAACAGTTGTCGAAGGACAGAGAGGAGGGGAGAGGTTGCAGCAACCTTCTGCACCAACACAAGGTCACAGATTTTGCTGGAAGCAAACTAATCCAGAATGTCATACCAACACCGACTCACAGTATAATGGAATTGCATAATGCCATTGTGCAGCTCAGAGCTGGACCAAGGGCTTTACGTCACAGAGTAGTGTCAGTCCTTCCACACACCATCCTCAAGATCCACTGTTCACTACAGGGTAGTCTTCCTTAATTAACTGAAGACCAAGTAACTAATGGTAAAGTCTTTCTTCTGAAGGCAGGTGCAACCAAATATTGATGTTAGGAAAAAAACCAGCATCTTCTCCAAGGGGTAACAATAATGTGTGGCTTGACTGAATCTACACTCACTCTGTTTGAGAAAACCTCACATTCCCAATGAAGAATCAAACATGCCAGCCATTATATAGCAAAAGTATTAATTTTTATTTTACTTTTTGCTTTTGTCACCTACACCTGCTGTACCATCTATTACAGATATTACATTTTGGCCTACAATTTCTATAGCCAATAGGAGGATGATGGGAGTTCACAGACTACAATATTCCAGAATCAACACAAAGGCACTCACTGCACCTTGCTCTTTGGGGACAACACAGGCACAGATTTAAAGGAAACTGGTGCATGAAAAAAGCCAGAGTGTAACAGAGGCAAGTTGATACCCATACCTGTGTGACATCTTTTATGATATATAAGCATGTGATTCTGTGTGAATTTTGCCCCACAATCACTACAAACAAAAGGCTTTTCACCAGTGTGGATTCTGAAATGAAAAAAACAATACAAATTAAGGCAGGTAGAGCACTTGCTCCTCCTCTTCTCTAAGCAGTTACCAGAGATCCACATTCTACTATATCAACTGGGGTTATTCTTGTCCTTCTCAATCCAGCCATGGGATCCCTCCACTTCCAATAACCTGGAAATCTCAATGAAACCCCAAAAGAAGTGCACTGCATCTACCTGAGTGTGAAACACCCAGGGCAACAGGTGATACCACACAGAAGTCTTCTGCAGGTACACTGGTCTTGATGGATGCCAGGGCCAAGTAACAATTAACATTAACCAGACATTCTGAGTTAGACTCAGTTAATAAGAACCAGCCTGAATAATAAATACATAAATCAGTCCAAGCAAGAAATATACTCCTATACGTGATCTAATAAAATGTTTAACTTCAGCATCGATAATTTCCCCCCACCTGGTCTCATTCTCTAGGAGCAAAAAACTAGCAGTGCTATAAAACAAGAATAGGACAATAGCAACAACAAAACTGGTTAAGAATTAGCTATTAATTAGCATAATCACAAATTAAATGTCACAAATGTTTTCTTTAAAACAAACAGAAAATTATGAACAACAATAGTAATACAGTTTCAGTAATATGAGATTTTTTCCCTCGGAGAGAAAAATCCAGCAGGGTTCTATGGCATTCCCATATTTTGGCTTCCAAAAATGAAGGGAAATATTGTGCTTGGAGGGAAGCCATTGCACCAATAACAGTTTGGTTTTATTCTCTCAAATAAGAAAAAACCCACTACATTTGAAATTAATCATAAGCTGTGTAGTTACTGGCACATCATTTCTTCCACTGGGCCTGTTCTCAATGGTTGAGCAAAAATGGCTCTACAAACAAGAGGCAGCCTTCTTCAGAGTATCAAATAGTTTGGCAAGAGATCGTCCTCCCTCAAAAAACACCAGGCAAAGTCTTCCAAAGCACACTACTAAAAGTATTATGATTACTGAGTGAAGCTAATAATCAAGGATGATTTCAGCCAAAGCATCTGAACTAAGTAATGAGCGTAGGGCACCTAGGTGCTCCACAAAGCCCTTCTGATTTTTTCCAGGGTTTTATACGAAGGATGCCTCTATTTTCTAGAGCTGGTTTGCACCTATCTTATCCTAGAAGAAGAAAGATGACTCGTACAGAAGGACTGGCTTCTCATTCCCCTGTGTGTACTTTCCATGCTGCTCCATGGTAGGCAGTGTTAAAGCTGAGAAAGCAATGGGAACACTTTCTCTGAAGGAACATTTTCCCACTAGAAAGTTATATGTTGCTTTTGAAGATATAACTGATTCTAATATTCTCCGTAACCCTGGATCTGAAAGTAGAAAACACAAATCCATGCTTGTTGATCTGTGCTTCGTAAGAGGTAGAAAACCAACCAGCTACTGTGCATACCTCCTGAAAAATCATGAACTGAACTACCTATCAGGCAGAAGCCCTGCTGATGAAGAGCGCAACCCATGCTACTATGCAGCCAACAGCTGGGTTTGGATGTCCTTCTAAACCACATGGGTTTAGGAGGGCAATGAAAATAAGGCCAGCTCCTCCTGGGCTTGGATGCACCCCACTCATCCCCTCTCTGGCTACTGGATATTCCCCAGCTCTGATTGTTGAACCAGACTGCCACACAGCATGCCACATGTGGTTGTGCCATAATGGCATCACCCTGTTTGTGGTTGTGTTTTCAATCACTTTATTTTTTTTTTTATTTGCAGTCTTGGCCTCCTGTCCTGAAAGTTCTGCTATGACCTAAGGGATTACTTTTTGTACCAATGCAAGTATGTGATACTTGCTGCGTCTTAGAACGAAGTTCCTTCATTGGCCGTTTTCTTACCCAGTAACCCAGTTCAGATATTAGTGGACCCTGTTATTTGCCTCATTTCACTTGTAGCCTAGTACGAGTGACATCCTCCTCCCTTCCTCTGCATGTCTCTTCCACACACACCACTCTTCTGCTTTTGCAGTGAAACCCAGCTGAGTTCTTCCCAGAAACCTTGCTATCAAACACAATGACTGGGTTTGCACGACATAATGCACAGTGGATTAATATATCATGAGAACCTGGATATATTAATGGGTTAATTTTTGGATTAGAAGTCACCCTGAAAAGCCATGGCTTCCTTTAGGTTTCTTTCACCCATGATGGGTTGGCATGATTGTTTGAACCTTGGCAAATGTCCCCATTGTGGGTACAGGGAAGGGAAAAGCAGTAAAAATAATAAAAATATGAACATATTTGTGCAATTTTCAGTGGCTGAAAATATAAAAACCACCCCAACTGTGATTTTTCTGAGGTGCCAACAGCCAACCCCCCAAATGGCAGCAAACAAAAAGGAATAGTGATTGAAGTGGGGAAGAGGCAAGGGATCTAGATGGAGGACAAGCAGGGAAGGAGGGCAAGCATACCCCATGGTGAGTGCCCGTGGGTTGTTTCCTGATCCACACCATGCAACTTATTTGCAGCCTGGCTTCGCATGACATGCAAACACACCCACATGGTTGTTTTAAAGGAAGAATGGGAATGCCACTGGATTCCGAGTAAGGCCTCTCTTCTTTAGTGGCCTTTGCCAAGAGGGCACAATGATGATGCATCATGCTGAAGAGACGTTGCACAGAAGAGATTGCCCTCATCATGCCAGGAGCTCAGCATGGTACATTCAACACCATGATTTCATGTAGCAGTTTGGTGAGCTTTAGCAATAGTATCTGCATCCATCCCTTTGGGAGCAGGAATCAAACCATTAATGAAGTAGTGGCCACTATTCTCTAAGTCAAACGCACTGCATTGTGATTCCATTCTAGAGCTAACAGTACAGGTCTGTTAAAGCAGCTAGTGTAGAAACAATTGAGCTGGTTAGGGATCAACATTTCAAAATCTGGGACAGTCCAGCCCACATTTTTCAGAAACAGCTTTACAAGACTAAACTTCTAAATTTCCCCATCATAAATACGAAGTATGGAAAGTGGATAATGTAACCAAGTCTAAGAAAGTCAATAATGTTGTGAGCCTCTGGTAGCAAGCCAAGTAGTATCCAGGCAATTCTTAGACAAAATTACACAAATTGGATTTCAGGCCTGTTTTTTACTTCTACAAAAAATAAAAGAACATTATGCTCATCCAAGATCTGTTCTCAAAACAAGCCATCTTATAGCGAATTTTTAGAATGTTTACATTTCGTAGAATTTCTAAAGGCTCTTGTAATGCATTTTACCAAACCAGATAGCAAAAATCGAACCCTCACTGAACTGTTTGAAGCCCTTTATACATTTATTTAATCTACATTTCCGAAACTCTAAAATGCCAGTGTATTAAATAGGATTCTCATGTTACAGGTTCCTTGAGAAAGTTTTAAATTTATGCCAAACTCTTTTGAATAACATAAAATGTTGAGCCCATATTTTGAGTGTGATCATGACAGCATCAGCCTCTTTCCTCCAAAGCAAAGAATCCATATTACTGGAAATATTATGAGAGACTTTCCAAATCCTGTTATGCCCATTTGACTGCTGGCAAGCTGCCCTAGGATAGAGGGGAGTTACCTTTTGCCCAGAAATTTAGCTAATAAGGCCAGTTAAGTCTGTTCATACCTCATGTGTGTTTTAAGTGCCGAAGGCTGAGAAAACTTAGCCTCGCACTCTGTGCACCCATAAGGCTTGTCGCCTGTGTGTGTCCTTTCGTGAAGCCTCAAGGCCGTTTTGGAGCTCAAACCCTTTCCACACTGTAGGCAGTGATGTCGCTCCCCACCACCCTCATGAACCTGCAGAATGTGCCGCTTGACGTCCTTCTTCCTCTTGAACTTCTTGCCACAGAGCTCACATGGGAAGTGGCGCTCACTGCTGTGAACATGACGCTGATGGCTTTTGAGGTTGCACCGGTTGGCAAAAGTCTGGCCGCAGGTTTCACAACGATAAATAATTTCAGCTGCAATCCCATGGCTGTGCTTTATGTGCTTCAGAAAGCTCTTCTCATACAGGAATTCTCGGGCACAAGTGCTGCAGGTAAAGTTGCCACCACGGTTCTTTTTATCATCCTCCATTTTAATCAAGTTTTCTCCCAGTTCCCCTGTGCCATCGCACCCCTGGTGTTCAGGCTTCACACTGCTGGGCACTTGCTCCTTCTCCTCCTTCTCGCCTTCCTCGGGCATGCTGTGGTCTTTGGAGAGCCTGCTCTCTTCTTCCGCAACAGCCTCAGCATACTTTTGCTGCTCTCTCAGGCGCCTTGTGTACTTTTTCTTGGGTATTTCCACAAAGACTTTCCTGCCTGCCAGTCTTCCACTGGCCCTCCGGATTTTGACACAGGGTGTCTTCAGGGCTTCTTTCTTTTTGTCTAACTTTTCCTTTAATTTAGCAGTGGGTGCTTCAAGATCATCTCCATCTCTGGGCCTTTCAAGAGGAGATTTTGCAAGGTAATCTGTGTTGTCAACTTGTGTTTCAGTGACTGCCTTTGGCTCATGTAAACTACTTGGCTGGGCTCCACTTTCCTCTTCCGCATCCTGTGATTCAGAAAAATTCTGTAACTCCAATAACACGGATTCGAGCATTTGCTTCTTTAGTTGAAAACAGGTTTCTGACAAATCTAAGCACTTGAGCTTCTCAGCTATTTCCAGCATACGCTGAACCCGATCTTCTTCTACCTCCACCCTGGCAGTATAGACAAACTCAAGAAAAGACGCAAAGTCTGCCACCTGGACTTCATTCAATAATACATTTGTTCTTGGTCCATCCATGCCCTTTTCATTAAGAAACACTTCTTTAAAAAACTTGCTTGTTGCTGCCAGGACAGCTTTATGCGCAACAAACTCTGCCCGGACACCCTGATATTCCACACTCACAGTCACATCACAAAGGTGACCTAGGAGACGCAGCTGGTGCATTTCATTCAGAAGGTTGATTGGTGAAGATTTTGATTCCAAAATAACAGCATTACTTTCCATCTTCTTCTTTTCTAAAAGCTGTAAATAACATCATCACCACATGTTAATTGTATGCCAGGGAAACATTATCAAGGATGAAAAGATGATCAATTATTAAGGAACACTGAGCGCACAATCCAACTGAGACAACTGTCAGTCTCTGAACTTGGGATGCTGATGATGACTCAACAGAGAACAGAAGTAGCAGCAGATGTGATTGTCACCTCCTTGCTCCTCCTACTTTTCATTTTTGCTAGATGGCCATCTTTGGTAACCTAGCGGGGATGCTTTGTAGGGCAGGGGCAAGGAAGCAGGCAGCAGAGGACACAGGGTATGTTGTACTCTGCCCTGTACAAGGTCTTCCCCTTCCAGTCCCCATTTCCCCCTCTCCAAGATTGAGTTCCCAATCAGAGAGCTCAATACAACTTTTTGTGGGGGTAGAAAGGGGCTTATTGTCTCCTTGGTTCACATTTATGCAGGCTTCAGAATTCCTCACCACCCTTTTCCCTTCCTGCCAGCAACTACCAAGCATCCATCACTAAGTTCTGGATAAGGATTCCTTTTCCAGATTTTCTTTTGCATTCCTCTTTAGCTATTTCAGATCTCTGCTGCACAGGTGGCTGCTTATTTCAAGTTGCAGGTTTCCATATGTTCTGGCCTACTACTATCATCAGTCCTAGCCCACACAGCCAATAGTGAGGGATGATGGGAGGTCTGACCCAAAACTTCTAAGGCAACAACTCCCCTTCCTACTTACTCCAGAATTGACCCACTCATCTCCCACATGTCTCCAGTCCCATTTCCTTTTAATGGACTGTTTTCTTTCAGTGCTTTGTTTTTTACTCATCCTTCCTCTAGGCTCCTGCTTTCTAAGTCTACCCCTTATTCTGTTCGCCTTCCTTCAGGCACCTTACCAGCAAGCTCCTGTTTCTTTAACTTCAAGGATCTTTTTTTTTCACATGAATCCTCAAATTCTGTCTGTCCACACAGCACCTTCTGTCTGCAAATTCTGTGGAAGTGTCCAGTGTGGCCAAAATAGCCTCATATCCACCACTGAAGCCTCACTGTTTATGAATAGCCACTCCAGAAGCTCTGCTGAAAGATGAGCTCCACTGGACTCTTCTTGGCTCAGCTGTCATCCAGCAGCAGCCAATCCATCAGGATGAAGCATATGGACAGAAAGGGAGCAAAGCTCTTCCATTGGCTCTATGGAAGGACTAATTCCATTTCATTTGCTCTTTCCCTGTTTCCAGGCCAGCTGGTCATTATAAGAATTATTACATGACATAAAGAACTGCAGCCCAAGTTTGCATGTTTTTCTGTTCCCTCAATACCACTTTCCTTTCGGGTCATGATTTTTAGATTGTAAGCCTACAGGAAGGAATTGTTTTGTTTTTATTAATCTTATCTGAGCTGCTCTGGAAGCCTTTTCAGCTGAAACCCAGGGCAAAAAAGTCTTAAATGACTAGATGGATGTTGCTGCTATTGAAGCAGTTAGAATGGTTCTGAACATTTTTTGCAGAATGGGCCAATTTGAATCAACAAAATTTAAATCATAATTTAAATTTAAAAAGGGGCAGATTTAGATCAAGTTTCTCACTGAGGCTTCTTTGTATATTCTTAAACAATGGTGCAGGGGTTTTTTTTACAACTAAGTGGAGTATTATTTAAATCGAGTTGGGCATCTTGCAGCCTGACATCATCTGGAGGGTCACAAGTTGTCTATCCAACTTACACTGCTATATCATTCTTAAAACCAGATCTTGCATTTTGTTTGTCCATTAGATATGTATTTTAGGCATTCCTTTCCTACAGAGGAAATGTCTTCAAAATATTCCTTATGACCAGTAGCCATGTCCAACCTATCTCACAGTGTGGTTATTGTAAGGATAAGATCAAGAGGAAGAGAAGAATTACTATGTAAGCCACCCTGAATTCCTTGAAAGGAAAAGGTGGGATTCAGATATAATAAATAAATACAAGAAACCATGTACTTGACAATTTTGCCTCTCTCTGATTACATTTTGACATATTTTCACCAATGAACCCTTCATTTCACAACTCTTGGAGATCACCCAGAGAACCTGGAAAATGGAAAGGTGCTTCTTATGCTGGGCTTTCCTTTCCCTTTTCTATGGTATTTTACAGCCCCACCACCAGTGCTTACTACAAAAGCCAACCAAAAAGAAGAAAAAGTAGCTCTTCTTTTTTTATATAGTACTCTGTAAATGAGGAAAATGCCTTTTCTTCTGTGACTTGTGGTTTTTTGGAATTGCACCCAATTGCAACGTCCTGCTAAAACTAGCAGTAAAGCAAAGAGACAGACAATCCCTTCATTCTTTCTTTCACAATTGTGAGTGCAGCTCTCAGAAGGGGAGGAAATATATATCACAGCCTGTTTCCATGCAGCTGAAGAGATTCTTCACCCCTTGCTACTCTTCACCCCAGACTTCCTCTCCCTGCATCTGTTGCCTCCCTCTGTACATTTTTCAGATTGCAAGCGCCAAACAGCAAAGCACTGTTTCTCAGATTCAGCACGCACAGGAATATGCCCTTACTTTTTTGTAAGGCGTCATGTCCACTGACAGAGCTGCATAAAGAAATGCCACTATTACTGGGGCCTGGGGCCGTCAGTGTCAGGAACCGCACGGACAGATGGCCTTCTTGGCTCGTCAGCACATCATCGGTACCTTGTAGAAGTGATCAGCCCTTTTCTTCCCCAGTCTCCCCGTGGCGACGTTACGGAACAGAATCCTCACCCCCACCCACCGCACCCCCGACGAAAGCAGGACACTTCTTCGCCGCCGCCTCTGTCCAGCCCCCGAGAAGAGCGCTGTGCCGCTTCCCCTCTCCGTTTATGCGAAGGAGGGGACTCTCGCTTACCCTACCCCTGCGAGGCGCTGCGAGCCAACTGCACCCTTCTTGACACTCACCGGGCAGCCCCACTTCCGGCCAGCCGAACAGCCTCAGGGCAGGAAGGCGCTCATGACTCTCCCACATCCGGCAGCGGCTGCACCTCCGCCCCTCCCAACCTTGTGACGTCCGACGCATCACTATGGTGTCAGTCGCTAGGAGGAGGAGGAGGAGGTGAACGTAGAGGAAAGATATGAGAGCAGCGGGACGAAAGGCGACGCGGCCGTATTGGCACCTGCGCCAGCCTCAGTTCCAGCAAGAATTCTTACCGTTCCATGGCTACAACGCCGGCCCAAGACACGTTTATCAGACAATCGTAGCCTGCGTGGCTTTTAAATGAATGCCGGAAGTTTATGTTGCGCCTTGCGACTGAAGCCTCTTTCCATGGGAAGAAGCCAGTGGCGTGTATATCAAGCGACGGGATCTCCCCCCCAAACCCGCCCAAGTGGCGACGGTTACCAGGCAACGGCTCCCTCTGCTCCGGCGCTCAAGAACTACGTGTCCTTCATGAGTTGCTCCTTCTTTATATCTGCTTCGGCAGTCGGCCGGGAGGTGAGCACCCTTGTCGGCATGCCTTTCCAAATGTGCCTCCTGGTGTGCAGAAAGCAAAGCGTGCTCGCGGCCGGGAAAGAGCTAATTAGCTAAGCTAAACTTCTCCGTGGAGGTTTTTCATGGGGTGGAACGGAAGCACATAAGCCGACCCTCTCTCGTCCTCCTCTAGCTGAAGTGGTCGTCCTTCCAAAAGCTGGAGTCCTGGACATGTGTTGGAGTGTGAGTTATTGTTGCAAGGTGGATTGTAATTAAAACATGGGTTGTTATGTTGTCTGAATCCAGCTGAAATAACCATGGTGAACAAGTCACAACAAACCAAGGGTTCTTTTCAAGGTTTTTTCATGGTTAACAAGGTTGAGTAGTTAAGATGGGTTCAGACAGCATGATAATTCATATTCCAGCAACAAGCCATGGTTTGGGGACAACTCACACTCAACCTCTAGTCAACCTTAGAATGTGGGTTAGTATGCTTTCTGAACTCAGTCAACTTCTCCAGTGGGCAAGAATGATGAGATTTGTGGTCTCAGGCATCTAGGGGCATAAGTTTGGGGAAGGCTTTGGTTATGCCTTTTCTTAAGGGACAAGCCCTGCTGGACGAGGCCAGTGATCCACTTACTCCCATTTTATTTTTTTCACTGTGAGCAATTTTTGGGGAAGCCCAAAAAATGGCATGAATGCAGTAGTCCTCTTCTGTTCTTCCTCCTCTACGATTAACTTCATTAACATTTACATCACACCATTCTTCCAAGGAAATTTTCTTCCTCCTCCTTAAATCCCTGCACAAGCTTTGTGTCTGCCACAGATCCAGGACAAACTCCCTTTAAAGACCTTCCTGTGCCATTTCATACATTCCTGCTTATTATCTTTATACTCTTGGTCCATCACTGTTGACCATCTGATGCTCTTTTGCTCCCTCAAAAGACTTCACCCTTTCCCTGCAACTGCCCTGTACACTTGAAATTGCCTCCCAAATACCTATAAGATGCCACATTCTTTTCTTCAATGTCATCTTCAAAATTCATCTTTTCTGTGAAGACTTTTGCACAATCCATAGTTACCAGGCTGTATAAGATAGTAGTTTTAAGCTTGTGTAAGTGAAATAATGGTGCATTGCTTCCATGTTCAATTCTGCCTTGTTTACTCAATATTTACATCTTGTGGTTTGCAAAAATACATGTTCAGAAATCAACTTAAATAATGGATACGTAAATATATGAAAACAGTGCTACAAAATTGAGAAAATTAAATCAAGTTTGAGACTGCTGAGACTCAGGCTGGTCCTGACTGAAGAAAGGCCAATTGAAACAAGATTTTAGTTCTTTCTTAATGGCCTGCACCAAAAGTAGGAAGAGAGTTCCATAACTGGGGGGCTAGCCTGCCCCTTGCACTTGACCTTATTCCAGTTAGACTAGCTAGATGACCTCATCTGAGGCTCTGCTGTAAGAGCATAGGCAAGATGATAATGGTAAAAGCAGTCCTTTACTTATTACTCCCCCCTCCTCTCTTTGTCATGTTTTAATTTAAAATTTTAGACTAGGTCCAGACTTGCCCTCTTGTATTCTTAAGCACCATTCATGCTGGAAATTTCTGATTCAGATCTCAGTTGTGCGGTGTGGCCATGTGGGTCCACATGATTGTTACATAAATATATTTGCACACTTGAACATTCTGAAATGGCTATTTATGTCCTTTACAAAAGCACATATGCAGTTGGCATGAATAACTGACTAGAGATAGGGAAACTGGTTTGCAATTTTATTATCATGTCATTATAAAATGGCAAATACACAAAAAGGAGAGTGAAAATTTCAGATGTTTGTTTCAGTCTCAAAATTCCGAAATAAGGAATGTGTCTCTAAATGAGAAACCATTAAATAGGACTTTTAAAAAATTAAAGGCACAGTCCTGTTGTGATAATTGTTATGCCCTCTGACACAGAGGCTTATGCTCATCCTGTGCCAGAATAGCAGCAGAGGTCATCTGTGCCTTTCTGTCCTTCTGCCTGATATTTTTTGCTTGTGAGTCTTTTTGCCTGTCTGGCTGGGGTACATCACGGTGGGAGGGAAGACTGGGCATGTTTAGCCTTGAGAATAGACTAAGGGGAGATATGATAGTACTCTACAAGTACTTGAAAGGTTGTCACAGAAAGGGAGGACAGGATCTCTTGATCATCCCAGAGTGCAGAACATGGAATAATGGGCTCAAGTTACAAGAAGCCAGATTCCAGCTAGATATCAGGAAAAAATTCCTGACTGTTAGAGCAGCATGAGAATGGAACCAATTACCTAGGGAGGTTGTGAGCTTTCCAACACTAGAGGCATTCAAGATGCAACTCAACAGACATCTGAGAGGGATAGTTTAACTTTGAGTCCTACACTGAGCAGGGGGTTGGACCTGATGGCCTTCTGGCCCCTTCCAACTCTACTATCCCATGATTCCTGATTTTAATGCTCTTCCATATGCTACACAGAACAAAGAGACTATCCTCTATGTAAAACAAAGATTGATATATATATCTGATATCAGAAATGGCAATATAAAAAATCAGTATGACAACACTTCAGCCTTCCAGGCTGTCACTGTCCTTAATGGGTCATTCTGGACTAAAGAAACTTGGAGACAGCCAAATTATAATTCATTCAGAATAAGTGACAGATGCACTGCAATTCGGCAGAAGGTTCATTCTAATCCATACAGCTTTAATTGAGAAAGTTTTTTTAAAACCGTACTACCTGTATTAATTAAAAAGGTAAAGGTTTCCCCATGACATTAAAGTCCAGTCAAGTCTGACCCTCGGAGGCAGTGCTCATCTCCATTTCCTAGCCGAGGGAGCCAGCATCTGTCCGCAGACAGTTTCCGTGGTCATGTGGCCGGCATGACTAGACACTGAGGTGCACAGAACGCTGTTACCTTCCCACCGAAGTGGTACCTTTTTTTATCTACTTGCATTTATATGCTTTCGAACTACAAGGTTGGTAGGAGCTGGGACCAAGCACGGGCGCTCACCCCATCTGTGGATTAGAACAGTCGACCTTTCGATCAATCAGGCCAGCAGCTCAGCAGTTTAAACCACTGCACCACCGCAGTCCCCCTGTATTAATTACCTTCCTCAAAACTAGAATGTTTACCTTACTCAAAACCAGGATATCAGAAAGAACTGTTTTGTGAATAGCTCCTGTAAATAACCTGATCGCCACAGTATGTTTTGCATTTCATTTCTCTCTCATCTCTCTGCTTACAATTTGTCAAGAACAAATCCTGCCAGACTAATCTGATTTCAGTTTTAATAGGGTAACTTCCCTATCTCCCTGGTAGAATGTGGGAGTTCTGTGGCCATAATATACCTTGCTTTCAGCAAAGCTTTTGACAAAGTTCCCCAAGATAGCCTCATTAGGAAATATTGATGACTAGGCTAGATGGAAAAAATCTCAGGTAGTCCATAGGTGGCTAAATCAAAGAGTACTTATCAATGGCACCCTCCCAAACTGGGATGAATAAGGAATGGGGTACTACAGATTTCAGTCCTTGGCCCAGGGCTCTTCAACATTTTTATTAATGATTTGGAAGAGGAGGTTCAGGGAATGCTTACCAGATTTCCAGAAGACACAAAATTGGGTGGGATAGCTAATACCTTGGAAGACAGAAACAAAATGTAAAGTAATCTTGCTGGGCTAAAAGCAACAGAATGAATTTTAATAGGAACAATAGCCTAGTCCCTGCACATAGGGAAGAGAAATCAAAGGCAGTTATAACATGGGGGATACTTGCCTCAACAATTCTGCAAGTGAGAAAGATTTCAGAATTGTTCTAGGTCATAAGTTGAATATGATTGAACAATGTGATGTGGCTGCAAAAAAGGCAAATGCTATTTTTGGCCGCATGAACAGAAGTATACTTCCACATCGTATGAAGTACAATTTTGCTTTACTCAGCACTATTTAGGCCTCATCTTGAGTTCTGCATCCATTTCTGGGCACTGATGCAGACAAACTGAAAAAGGTTTAGGTGAAAACCATGGAGGTAATTTGGGACTGAAAACAATATTCTACGGAGAGAGATTGGAAGAATTGTGCATTTTTAGCCTGGAGAAAATGGAGGGGAGATATGATAACGCTTTTGAAGTGCTGTCCCACAGAGAAAGGCCAGGATACCTTCTTGGTCATGCTGGAGTACAGGACATGGAATGATGGCTTCCAATTACAGGAAACCAGATTCTGGCTGGACATCCAGAAAAACTTCCTAAATGTTAAAGCAATGGAACTAATTATCTAGGGAAATTGTGGGCTCTCCTCTGTCAGGGATGCTTTAACTTGGAGCCCTGCATTGAGCAGGACGTTGGACCCAGTGGCCTTAATGGTGCCTTCCAACTCTGCTATTCTATGATTCTATGACTCTTAATCCTTCCCCACCCACAGTCTTGGTATAATATCCCTGTAACTTCAGGACAGCACTCTGTGTATCTGATGAATTAAGCTTCCCAGAGAATTTCAGCTGTGTGGCAGTACAGAAATGCAATCAATCAATCAATCAATCAATCAATCAATCAGTGGGCCCATGGAAGCTTATGCTCTTGTGTCCCAACACTCCACAGCTTTTACTACAATAGACTAAGTAGGCTACCTCTCTGTAAATTGTAACAGTGGAAAGCATCTGTTCACACAGAACAGCTTTCCCTTGGGACTCATAACATACAGCCTGTCCCCACAGAGAAGCAACATCTTGCTATGATGCCCACATGCTTAACTGCTGACATCCCTCTTCACTGGCGTAAAACCCACTCCTGCCGTGCCAGAATCTAAGTACGCAGTCCAAGAAAGTCTTAAGTTTCTAAGACTTATGCAGCTACCTTTGCTATCAAAGGCAGTGATGACCTTTTGAACTCTGACTATTTGACTCCCAAAAAGCTTTTAGTGGAGCTAGCACCTAGGCTGAAAAGCAGTGCTCCATTTCTAAGGATTCCACAATGGTCATGTCTCCTACTGGGTGAGGCTGAACTGCTAGCATGGCTCATCTGTAGAACCCATGAGCAGATGGAGGAAGTGCCCACAGAAGGAACAAGCTGAAGGTGGTAGCAATGTCCTTCCCCAACCTTAATGTTTAAGCCTATAAACACATAAGGGAATGGTCAGGATCTCTTACATTACTGTTACATGGTATGTGTTCTACTTTTTTTACACTTATAGTTTCTGGTGTATAAATTTTACTCTGGACACCAGACCAAATTGTCGTAGAGTCCTCTGCTAAACAGATATTGGATAAAGTCTCTATTTTGGACCAGTTATGATTCTTTTTGATAGTAAGATCTATTAAGAAACTCCTCCAATGAGCATTCCGATCATGGACCTACAGCACGGGGAGAAAACAAAAATTACTTTTAAAAGTCAAGTTCTGATCTGATTGAGTCAAACACTGGAAACTTCTAAAACAATGTAACAGAAAAACAAATTCTTGTAATTATGGCTATCATAAAAGCTTTCACAAATTAAATACCACTAATTTATTGTCTGGCTAACTAGCCAAATGTGTTTTTTATATTCAGGGAGCCTGATCCTGCACTCTGTCCTTAGCTGCAGTGAGACTAGTATGTTACCTTACCTATGACGCCTTGGCCAGGAATGCTCCAAGCTTGAAATGCTCTTGTGTCAATATACAGAGGGAGGGTTGATGGAGCCAAAAGAGGTCAGTCATGCTTTATTCCCTCTGAAGTAAATGCAACTTAGGTCAGTCAAAAGCTCTGCTGACTACAGTGGAACTGAAGTCTGACTAAACGTCCTCTGGATCCACCCCAAGGACTCCTCTGCAATGACAGAGGCCTTTGGATTACTAGAGTGGGTCCTTTCCAGAGCTATGTAAGCCCTGCCCAGGAACAAAATAGATGTCACTGCTGCAGTGTTAATTCTCTTCACCTCTGCAGCAATGCTTTCTCTTTCTTCCCTCATACCACAGCAGCTGTGCACCACTGACAGCAATGGGGGGGGGGGGCAGGGGGAGGAAGGAAACACCAGTGCTATTTGCTGAGTGCTGAAAGCCAAGGGTGTGGAGCCTTTTTGGCCAAAGGGCTGGAGTGGGTCCAGGCAAGCACATCACTGCAGCTGGGACAGTGGCACATCCCACTGCTGGAATACTGTTCCACAACAGGAGCGGCCAGGCTTGCATGCATACTCAAACACTTTCCCAAAGCAATCAGGCCCTTGAAAATGCCCCCACCCTTGCCAAAAAATGGTCACCATTGGCACCAATAGGGCCTTTAAAAAAACGATATGCAGCATTAGGGAAATCCACCTTTCCTCTGATCAATGGTCAGACATAAGGAAGGGAAACTGATGAGCTAAATGGGGACTTATTATGGATTATGCTTGGCCTGCAGGCTGGAGGTTCCCCGTGTCTGCTCTAAGATGTTTAAAAGCCTGTTAAAACAGGTTTAATACACAGGGCATCAAAAAGCATTTTGGCAGGCAAAACGGATGAAAAATCCAGTTAAAAAAGATAGCACAAAGCAGAGAACTTACCAGGACGTGCCTTCTCAAGGTAGACATGTCTGTGAAGGTTCTTTCACAAGCCCTACATTTGTATGGCTTTTCTCCAGTGTGGATACGCTGGTGACGTCTAAGGGCTCCTTGCTGAGTAAATGTCTTTCCACACTGCTCACAGAAATAGGGAGGAGTTTCTAACAAGAAAGACATGTTAGTGGGCATTTTCAAAATCCCTGTATTTTAAAAATATATTTCTGCCCTGCATTCCAACTCAAGATGGATCTACTCCAGGACTTACACAGATAAGGATATCAGAAGAACACACCAAAAATGTTCCAAAACAAAACCAAAACAAAAGAGTCTACAGAAACATCAGCAGCTACACATGACCTATTCAAGTTGCAAATGCTCTGTGGCCCTTATTCATTTACTTATAGGCAAAGTCAGCTTCCCTGGGAACAGAGTTCCACAACCACAGCACTTGCACAGCCCTGTCTTGTATCACCATCCTCAGTGCTTGTGATGAAAGGGGAGTATGTCAGGAACCTTGTACACAGTTCATAATTTGGTGTCCACAACAGATCTTGGACTACAGTTTTAACTGTCCCTGACCATTGGCCATAATTGCTGGAGCTGATGGGAGTTGAAGTGTAAAATACCAGGACAGCACCAGGTTGGGAAGGTGTGAAATAGTGGATAGTTTCAATGGAGATGACTGACATAGCCTTCCCCAAGCTGATGCCTTCCAGAAGTTTTGGACTTCATCTCTCATCAGACCCAGCAATTATCGTCAAAGCTAAGGAATACTGGGAGTTATAGCCCAAGACATCTAAGGAAAACAGCTTGGGGAAGGCTGATATAGAAGCTTGCCCTTGCACATCTGTCTCTTCTGTCATCCATCTAACCCCTGAAGAAACATTTATTACCTGCATGAACATTGTTGTGTTGGGCTAATGAGGCTCTCAGTCCAAAGGTTTTTCCACACACATCACATTTATATGGCTTGGCTCCCATGTGGCAGCGCTTGTGGCATTTCAGGTATTCATTGGTGGCAAAATGTTTTCCACACACATCACATTTGAAGAGACGTTCTCCTGTGAAGTAATAGAACAATCAATTTCCCTTACTGGTCACCCACATTGGCAATCATCCATAAGAGATTTCCCAAAGTGAATTTAGCAGTTCTCTTCTGCTCTGAAACTTTTCCCAAAAAGATCTGACCTCTTCCTAGAGATTCCCCATATCCTAGAGAATATAACTCTCTTTTTGTAATAGTTACACAGATTTTTCTTGCATCCATATGGTGCAGAAGTCTTGTGCAGATGGTCATCCAATCTAGAAATGTGTGGGAGAGGGGAAAATATCTATACCTGCATAACATACAAAAAATAGTCAGATGAGTGGAGCACCAATATACATTGCCCCTCTCCATATTCAGGGAGTGGGTTTAAACACCTACCTGTATGTGTCCTCTTGTGGCCATTAAGCTTGCCTTTGTCTGCAAAACATGCCCCACAGTCCTCACAGATATATGGCTTCTCACCTGTATGGGACCTACATTCAGAGGAATACAAAAATCCCAAAAGCGCAATTTAAGACCGTATCTATTATGGACTGTGCAACTTAATAGAAATTGCAAGTAGTCTAACAGGGTTCTTCCCTATCCAAAGGCAAGAGACAGAACATGCAGAAAGTGCTTCACGCTAGAAGGAAAAAAGTTATCTTAGTTTAGGGTGCACTAAATGATTTTCAGGCTGTCTCAGAGAATGTAATTTATTTATTTATAACATTTCTATGCCGCACCCATCATCGAAGCCTCGGGGTGGCTCACAAGGAAAACAAATAAAGCATAGAACAATATTAAAAATTTGGAGTTCTCGGCAATAATATAAAACCATTAAATAAAACACAGATTAACAAAATACCGTTTAAATAAAAAGGTCTTGGTCTGGCGCCAAAAAACAAATAACGGACTTCTCTGGGGAGCGCATTCCATAGGTAATTCCACACGTCGTACAAAATGAAAGGGATATGCAACACTAAATTTATAAGTCCTCAGTTACCCCAAGAACTGAGGGCTTCCTTAATCTTCTGCAGTAAAAACAGTACAGAAGCCTTACAAGGGGATGGGGGAACAGAAGAATTTAAGAGCTCCTCACAAAAGAGGAAGAGCAGCAGCATAAGGTTTCTACTGACTGATGTCCTGCCCATCCACCTGTCACATTTAGATTCAGTGTAAGAGTTGCTTAGGACATACGCATACAGATAATGCACAAATAGTGTATCATAAGGGGTTTTTTAAAAATACTTGAACCAAATCATGATGTCCTGAGATTGGAAAGCTGAAGAACAGCACAACCTGGCCTCTTCCACTGACCAGGGGACTAACAGCCACTGAAAGCTGCTATGCTCACCTCCCAGAAAGAATGGCAAGGCAGCAAGAGGTTAACCCGGCCCCATCCATTGGCCAGAGAAAAGGCTGTAGCTCTGATGTTTGCATTCCTTTTTCTTTCCATTTTTATTGTGTCTATTATGAGATCATAAGCTTGCAGGCAGGGGCTATCTTATTTTTAGTATCTGTACAGCCCTTAGAAAATGTTTGGTTCTTTACAGATTGTTGTTGTCATCATTGTCATCATTCATAACTGGACTTTGGGGCATTATCTACAGCCCACGGAGAGTTAATGACTTCACACCCAAAGGGGGGAAAAGAAGATTTTCTGCACACAGTGGATCTTAATTTTGCCATTTGACTACTCAGTATGCACAGCCAGGATGAGCTACACAGAGGTACCGAAGAACTCAAAGTAGTAGAGCAGCCTTCCCTAACCTAGTGCCCTCCAAATGTCTTAGACTGCAATTTCCAAAATCTGCAGCTACCATGGCCATCAGCCATCCCGGCTGGGAATTATGGGAGTTGCAGCCTAACACATCTGGAGGGCACCAGGATGCCTAGAGTAGACAATGCATGTAGAAGCCCTGAACAGAGGGGAGGAAAAGAAATCATACAGGCTGACCTTGTGTGAATCTTGAGCTGTGATGGCTGAGCAAATCGTGAGCAGCAAACACTGCACTGGTACGGCTTCTCTCCTGTGTGTGTCCTCATGTGAAATACGAGTGCTGTTCTAGAACTCAGGATCTTTCCACAGACAGAGCAGAGGGGGCGCTTCACTCTTCCTTCGTGCTTCCGCACACAGTGTGTCCTCACATCTCTCTTCCTTTTAAAGGTGGCATTACAGAGGGTGCAGGCAAACTGCCTGTCCTCTGTGTGAACACATGCACGGTGCTCTTTCCAGCTGTTGCAGCTCGCAAAGGACTTACTACAAACATCACACTGATAGATTTTACCAGGCAAAGAGTGATGGACATCTCTGCAGTGGTCAACGTATTTTTTCTGTGACACAAACTTCTCAGCACATTTTGGACAGGTTATAACATAAGCAGTTTTTTTAGTTGCCTTACTTTTGTTCATTTTCCTTACTTTGACATCAGCATCTGATTTATTTTCTCCTCCATCTTGATCCTTTGAGTCATCATCATCCAAAGGCACCTCTTCATCTTCAGTGCTATCTATTTCAGCTCTATAGTCCTTTTCTCTTTTTGCACTGCCTTCAACAACAGCTCTGTGTTCTTCAGCATTTCCTCTTTTCATGTCACATTGCTCATTACGTTCCTCTTTATTGTCAGTCTCTGGTTCTATTGCAAGAGAATGTCTGGATTCTCTCTCTAACTCCTGAGATTTTTCACCCCCAAATTCTCTTGGCAAGTCAATATTTGGTGCCTCCTGACATGTTTTGTTATTCACATCAATTTCACCATGAACAATACCTGCTCTTTCTGTAGGTGGGACTATCATCCAGTAATCAGACATGACATTCCCATCTTGCTTGGATTCATGCATTTTTCTGTTGGGGAAAAAAACAACAACATAACAGCATGTAAAAATCAGCTATATTTTTTCTGTATGCCCAGATGAAGACACAAATAATCTACAAACTCACCCAAGGCCATATTCTAAGTTCACTTGCCTGTAAAGCATCCAAAAACACGTTCTGTCCATATTTTGATGGAAAAAAATCTTGCAGCTGCCAGTTTTCTGCTGGCTAGGTATAGGCAGCAATTCTATAGGCTCTTGCTTAGGAGAAAGCTTTACAGATCTCAATGAGACTTACTTTTGAGGACACATATATTGGGTTGCACTGCAGAAATTCACCCAGTCATACCACTGCTTCCCTTCTGGCGGGCAGATAACATTTCCAACAGGGGATTTCCAAGCATGGCCTTTTAAAACAAAGTTTCCAAGTGCTCTTTTTTACTGACTCTAATTTGTTGTCTTTTTATTTTTTTAAATGGAAGATTGTTTTAAAGTGGGTTACCTGTTTGCCACCCTTGAGTTTTTTAAAATGTTTATTTGTATCTATATAGATAGGCAGGATAGGAATGTTGAAAAGAAATACAATTTTAACCTGAAGAAATTACACTCTTGCGACTCATTGAAAGTCTAAAAATTTAAGTATCTTGCTTCAAGCAGCACTAGCAAGTAGAAAGCCCCACTGTGGCGGTGTTGAAATATTTTTAGCCCAAAGGCTGAATTCCATTTTGGACAAGCTGGGTGGGGGGGCATTCCAGCATATCTTAGCTGAATACTCTTCCTGTCAGTAAAGAAAGTAATTTCACCCTTTAGAAGGGAGAAAAACTGCACACAAGGCACTGAGGGAGAGAGTGCAGCTCTCAGGGGAATCCCAAATGGGCCCAGTTGGTCTTCAAGCATATGGTTCGCCACCCTTGCCCGACACAGCTTGCTCCTCATGACCCAGAGCACACAGAAATTCATTGGATGATTTAAGGGTTGATTGTGACTGAAATGAACTGAAAAGTCAGGCACCTTTTCAGGCAATACTGTGCTTCTGGGATTGTTGGACCACAAGTTGTCCAGGTCTGTTACACAGCAAAGGAACCCAGCTGCATAATGGGAAGTATTGTGCTACATATAAGCTGCAGGAATTTGAGCTGCAAGGCATACAGTAAATACTTTTGTGCTTGTAGGACTATCTAATGTAATTTTGAAAATATTTGCTTAATACTGAACCAAACTGACTGAGTCAATGCAACCCAATCCTATGCATGTCATACCCAGAAGGAAGTGCAATGGAACTTACTTGTAAGTAAGTAAGTATAGGATTGCAGTTTTATAGCTGGCAAACTTATACTAACTTCTTTTTCCCACATATAATTTCTACATTGAAGACATGAGGACTAAAAATCCCTCTTTTCCCCAATACTCTGCACAAAGAAAGACTTTACCTTACATGAGTATTAAAGGCAGACCTCTGAGCAAAACGTGCAGGACAAGATGTGCACTTATAAGGTTTTTCCCCTGTGTGTGTTCGAACATGAACAGTCAGTCCACATTTGGAGCTGATCACCTTGTCACAGTAGGGACACCGCTGAGGATTCTGTTTCTTCTCATGCACCCTCCGGATGTGGTCGCTGAGATCCTTCTGGCACTTGAACTTCTTGTCACACAACATGCAGGGGAAGTGCTGCTTGCTGTGGTGAACGGCAAGCCTGTGCTGTTGCAGTTTTTGGCAGCTGGAAAAGAGCTGGTCACACACACTGCAGCTATATTTAATGGCCAGGTGTATGTCATGTTCCAGTTGCATGTGTGACTGGTACCCCTTGGCAAAATGGAAAGAATGATTACATTTGGCACACGCATATCTCTGTGGCAAGACTTTTGATATGCTACGTGGGGATTTTCTGAGTTTAGCTTGACCAAGAATCAAATTATTTTCCTCCTCCTTTTGGCCAGGGAATATCTTGCTTATAACAATGCAAGTTTCCATTGAGTCCACCTGATCTGGTGAAGAACAGCTGGTGTCGCTTTCTTCCTGGCTGGGATTGCCTGTGTTGTGAACTTCATGCATGTCTACCTTGCTGCATTCAGCTGAGCCTGCCTTCTCTTCTTTGAACTTGGCAAGTGGGGCCCTATGTTTGTTAGGACACCCAGGTTTATTTTCAATAGCATCATAAATAGATGACAGTTTTCTATGCTTCTTTCTGTCCCAAAGGTTCTTTTTCATAGGGGTTGCCAAGATTTGGGACAAGTCACTCTGTTCTTTGACTTCTACTTGTTCTGTTTGATTCCAGAGACACCCACTACTTTCATGGCTTTTCAAATGTACAGTTAAATCTGCCTTCATTTCTTCAAAAGCCTCAAGCAGATCCTTGCATTCAAGTTTTTCAGCAACCTCCTTTATCCGGTGCAGCCTGTCCACTTCAATTTCTACTTCAGTTGTGTAGACAAACTTTAGGAAGGAGACAAATTCTTCAGCATGAATGTCTTGGAGGGTCACCTTGCAATTCTGGGCATTCAGCATTTCATCACTGAGAAACAAACTTTTAAAGTAATTGCTGGAAGCTGCTAATACAGCTTTGTGAACAGAAAATTCCTCCTGGATTCCAAGTTGGTCTGTGTGAATTGTCACATCACAGAAGTGACCAAGCCGATAAAGGGAATGTAATGTTCTCAGAAGGTTAGAAGCTGCAACATTAGATTTCATTAAAATTTTCTCTTTCTCCATCCTGTTAAGCAGAGGAAAATATATTAGGGAATTCCATCAGCTAGTATAAATTTACCCTTCTCAGCTAGTATAGTTTAGTTGAAAGTTTAGTTTCAAAGCAGGATCTCATTGAGTTTGTATTATACCTGATCACGATTTTGAAATTCAAAGGGTCCTATGACCAATAGCTTGGAAATAAATTCTAAATTTCATGCTATTTTCTCCCAGGTAAGTATGTATATTTACCAAAGATTGATTTCCATTTAGTAGACATGTATATTGCATTGTTAGACCTGGTTTTGTTATTCCAGCCACCCTAGCATGTGTTCTCTACCCATGTGCCTCAGAACCATGCAATGTACTGGGGATGAGGTTGACTGAAAAGTGACATTGAATGCAGCTAAACTAATCTCATTTAATCTTTGCAGATTTACAGAGATCATGCACCTGTAGCCTTCCAGAAGTTTTGGCCTACAACTCCTGTTATCCCTTGCCACTGGTGAGGCTGGTTAGGGCTGATAGGAGTTGCAGGCCAAAGCATCTGCAGAACTACAAGTACACATCCATATTATTCAGGAAGACAGGCAGTATCAACTCAGTATATGAGAGTTAATGGGGTATAACAGGCCGGAGCATCTTTGACACAGTTCATGAGACAAGAACAGGGCCCAATTCAATGCACCATAGGATAAACTGGTAGACCGTTTACCTGGACTTTTCCATTTCAGGTGCAGGTAGGAATATAAAAAGAAAAGCATCTCAAGGAGAAGATGGTATTAGATCTCTTTAACTTGCTATCTTTTTATTTGCAAGAAGTGCTTTTATTTTTGTTTTGGGAGAAGAACAGTCAAATATACCAACTCCTTACCTATAGCCTGAAATAGTACAATCCTGGAAAACTTGGATTGCTTGAGTTTGTGGAATGTATAAACTGAGTTTGCCATACGCATTGGCAATAAACTAAATGGACTAAGTTTGTTTCATTCATCCCTGGGGAATTTGCACAGAAGTACCCTCTTGTAAGGAAAACTATTTAGAGGTGTTTGGTTGGTTGCTGGGGTGGGATAGGGGAAGATGACTATGAGGAGGCATCTGTGGTGTGGAGAAGAAACGTTCCTTTTCTACAAAGATCAATTATTTGTGGGAAGCTGTCATCTAATGAAATGGATGGGGAGGTAGATGAAGGAGTGCTTCCAGACAAAACTTTTAGTATACCTGCACTTTGCCTTATTCATAGGCTTTTAAAGGGAGTCCAGCCATCCTTGTTCTAAACCAGCCCTACTTGCCTACTGCATCTTCTATGTTTGTTTAATTATGAATGAAAAGATGCAATAGCTGCACAACTCCTGATTGGCAGCACTAGGAGCTCCCATGGGTTGGGAAACACCATGGGGCTAACAAAAGAAAGCCCATGTGCAGTATATACTAAACTCAAACAATGAACTTACTGCACCTTCCAGATGTGTGACTACAACTTCCCACTATTCCCACAAGATTGCTGATGGGGGTTTTAGTCCAACGTATCTAGAAGAAACCCAGGGAGAGAAAGGCAATTATCAAATTGGCTGCCACAAATGCAGCAATAATGACAGACAACTAAAGTGGCTTTACAATGGCATTGCGTCAATGCCTGGATGGCAAGAGCTGTAAACTAAAATAGTTAACAAAACCTTCATTTCTGAGGGTGGGCAGGAGATGTCTGAATGACACTTGCAGTAGAAACCGCAAACAACAAGGAAGAGTGGCTATGAGCACACATGCTTGTGAGCCTCCTTCTCTGACACATCTAGGCAGCCACTGTTGGACGCAGGATGAGGAGGCTGAGCTGCATGGACCTTCCCGAGGTCTAATCCTGAAAGGCTCCTCTTACCTCCTCCTTGGCTTTGCTACCCGGGAGCTTTCGGTGACAAAGGAAAGAGAGAGCGGGAGAGAGGCAGAGCCCTCGTAGCGCCAGCAGCCGAGCGTGCGGAGGTCTTCCCGCAGCAGCCCCAAGGACCAGGCGACGCGCCACGCCTCCCGGCCGGCTTGCGGGCTCCCCTGCTTCCCTGCGCTCTTCTTTCGCGTCGCGGCGAGTCCCACACGGAGGGGCTTAAAATGATCTCTGGCAGCCACCGTAGCAAGGCCGCTTTCACGAGTTTTCTGCAAGGCGGGGGGAGCAAAAGACCATACGCAGCCGCGCCCCACAAGCCCCAAGGGTGAATTCGAGGCGCTCGAGCGGCGATTCCTTATGTTCTAGTCTATGGTACTGTCTTGTGCCAGAGCGGCCAGCTCTCCTTTTGTGAAAGGACGCCGTCCGAGCCATTCTTGCGTTAGCGCAGATGCGCGTTTCGTTAGGGGTCGCGGGTTGTCGCCCCCTACTGTGGAAGGAGGAGAAGAGAGGAAAGGCAAGGCGGTCGTTCTTTAACCAAGTGACCTGTCCTGGGTGTTGCGCTGCCGTAGCCTCTTGGCTGCAGCATTACGGAAGTTGCGCAACACCCATGAAGGCTACCAGGTTGAGGAGGCTTTTCCGCAGGCTCTGTTTCACGGGTCCTGGAGCCGAAATACGTAGACGACATTATGGGGTGGTTAGGATTGCTCCTGCAGCTACACCACCGCAGTGGTTATTAAAGAAAGGATTGCTTTGCCCAGATGCCCCGTTTTCATTGCATTGTGCTCTCTTGCACCTAATGATTCCCCTGTCTGCAGTTCAGCAGCAGAGCGTGGGCCGGGGAGGATGATGGACCCAACACCATCTTTTGGATGGTCATTTGTGTCTGCATTCCACAACCAGCGGGAAAGGTTGTGATTTGGAATCGGACTTGCTTCAGCTCCAAGTATTAGATAATAATTTTGAGTTGGAGTTTAGTTTTCAAACTCATTAATCACACCAGGTTGTAAAATGCAGTTTTCTACTTCAGGCTTTTCAAGAAGCAGAGAACGCTCTCTAAACATTTGTGCTGTATTAAATGACCTTATTGCAAAGATATTGGATTGAGATTGAGATGGCTATTCTAGTATATTTGACATTAAGACCCCCAGAATTGTTTATTGCCAGTTAATGAACGTGGCAAAAGTGTCTTTGGTTGGTTTTGTAGTAGCTACAGTTAGCTAACATTTCATAGGATATGTAAGGGGTGTTGAACCCCTTTCAGTCAGAGACCTGAGTTCCAATTCAGAGAAATTATTGGGGGCTACATTCCTGTGGCGTGTGGGGTCAAACAAAAGGGGCAGGACCAAACACCCCTAAAGCCATCACATTTTAGCTTAAAGCTGAAAAGCAAAGTAATGGAGGTTTAGAGGGGCATTTCAACCATTTGGAATGTGGAGAGGGGAACTGCACAAAAGTCAGGAAACCACCAAACAACTGGGGGTTAGTGGAAGACCTGGTAGAGATAATAGAAGAGGCTATGTCTATCTGGAAACCTTGGAGGGCCCACTCTGATCACTGCACCTGTGGTTGCCCAGAGCCCTGCTCTAGTGCTTTTGTCAATGTATTCTCCCAAGATAAAGCTGGAACAGCTGTATGTGATTTTGGGGAGCGGCCCTTTTGGACCTGCTGGAAACATGGAGAACTCTTTCCCCCCTGTCACATGCTACTGGTGGGTACCAGCTAGAAATGACAAATTAGAGTAGTAACAATGATCAGAAACCGCACTGAAAATATGACAGATGAACAACACAGTCCTATACAAGTCCACTCTGAATTCAGTAGGATTTCAGTAGTGTGTATATGATTACAATTGAAAGCAATGAATTTGAACTGGCTGAAATGAAAGTAATGTTAATTTCCATGATTCAGGAAATAGAAAATGTTATTGCAGGACAGTCCTGTACTGGTTTACTCAGAAGTGAGTCTCACTGCCTTCAGTTGTGTTTTCTTTGTTGCGGTCTCTGTGCATCACACATATATAGTAAATGAGTACGATATACCCTGAGTATATCCTGAGCAGAAAGCAGAAGAAAAAGAAACTTGCTTCTGAGTAAATGTGTGTAGGATTGAACTCTTAAAAACACATTCATAAATAAATGGCATAATTAATTAGGTTTACTTTTATTATCCAACAGTGTTCATAATTATTTTTATTTCCAGGATTGGTGTGTTTCCTGATAGTACTTTCTTTTGTTCAGCAAAGGATATGTAAATGTGTAACTTGTGTTGTTACTAGCAGTGTAGAAGGAAGTTTTTATTGTTCCTGGTATCAGCTTATGCATCTCTCTAAAGCAACCCCCCATTATCCCCATGTACCATACTGGCTGAGATGATGGGTGCTGTAGTCAAACTCATCCAGAGGATGCCCAGATTGCTCTTGACCTCTGCTTCCAGAGAGGAAGAAGGTGAAGTTGGCCCAGAGAAGAGAAGTAGTGGCTGCTGGTTTCAACCCATAGCGTTCATACCAGTGGCCCTAGCACAGAGCAGTTTTCTTGCTCTGGCTTGCTCTTCTCCAAATATTTGCCTAGCCAAGAAGCCTCACCCCTTGCCTGTGCAGGAGGACATTCCAATTGCTAAGCCAGTCAGTTGTTTCCCAGGAGGAGATGGCCTCAAAATGACTGCATAGCTCAGTGGAAGGCTGCTAGCTCCAGCATATGGTTTGAAAGTAGGGGATGGAGCTGAGCTTGTGGAAGTTAAGCTGGTTTAGGTCTGGTCAGTGCTTGAAGGGGTGACCCTCGGAGTTCCCTGTGTTCTAAGAACCTTTAAGTTCTATGGAAGAACAGTGGGAGAGAGAGAATAAGCCACGTTCTCTTGCCCCTTAAGTGGACAGTGAGAAGAGCTAACCCTTCAGTAGCTTGGAGCTAAAATATATATACCTCATCACACCACACCATGCATGTGCATGCACACACGCACACGTATTACAGACTTTAGCTATCCTTGCATTATAATGTTGTGTCTCTTGTGCATAATGTAGTTACTCGGTCTTGAGCAGAACATTTAACCCATCCAAGTTCTTACAACCACTCAGAAGTGCCACTCCTGTTAGCTTCTGGATGCATGCTCCCAGAATCAGCCTCCCACCAGCTGGGGATGGTAGCAGTTACAATCCAAAATATCAAGAGGGCACCAAGTTGGGAAAGGCCTGGAATGGGTGGCAAGCTCTGTAATCACATCTCCTGCATTTCTCTCCTCTCCTCTTTTTTATACTCCAGGGCTCCAATTTTAAGCAAAGTTAATCAACCCATAAGGTAGCTTTTAGTCATGGAGGTGGAGGAATATTGGCACAATACAGGTACCATTTTTTCCTTCTCCAGAGTTGTTAACATCCATTTCACAGGGCAATTACAGAAGAACAGTGCAGGGAAAAATAGTTAAACACCATTTCCCCAGCATCACATTCCAATTAAAAGGGCAGCCTCCTCTCAATGCCATGGCTACTTTCAAGTTTTTCTTTATTTCAGGTCACATGATCACATATCATGCTGAGTTTGGCACTAGTAATGTTTGGGGCTTTCTGAGTGTTTTTTTTTAAATCAACACATAACTAGTAATATTCATGGATGTCATCAAAAGATATGCATCCAGCCTGACAATATGAAGTTACATTGAGATTTATATGAAGAACTTTTGTATTTTGCCACAGGAGGCTTGCTGAAATGTAAAATCCATTTCAGTTCATTTTCAAGGTGGAAACTGGGCATTACATATGCTTGTTTTCAAGTGAACCAAAGACTAAAGAAGTGCTCAGAAATTAAAGACTGCCAAGATGCAGAAAGAAGAGATGCAACGTATGCTATAAATTACATCTGGAAAGAAAAACACAACTGCTGTTAAATAATTTGCCATGAATGTGTTTAGTTAAAATATAAGGCTTCCTCTGTTTTAATGAAAATTCAGGAACCATTCCCAAGAGAACAGCCAAAGCAACGGAATGCAGTATTTCTCCCTGGCAATAGCCCATAAAACATTCATGCTTATGTAATAGTATTAGGGTTCTTATTCTTTTCAAAGTGAAGTTGCTATTTATTTAGTTTGATTTATGAAATGTGCCTAAGCCACACTTCGGTGATACAAAAAAAATTTAAATGCAAAAGTACATTTAACCAAAATTACAAATGGAACTTGTCTATGGCAGCACAGTCTCTCCTCCATGGATGTTGCTCATTAAATGCAGCCAGCTGGGCAGTGCATGGTCAGGCCGGTGGTACAGTACAGAAATGAATACTGTAGAATATAAATCCACATCTGCACTGGCTGCGCGTGTTGGAGATGCCTGCTTCCATTCACAGATTTCCTTTGCTGGATGGAAGTGACCATCTCTTTCATGAGGTGTGTTGTTACCAAAGAGGACTTTGATCTTAACTACAAGTATTTCTGTACCAGGAACTCAGTTTTATGCTTTGCAGATTCACCAAAGTTGCTGCAATGTAACAGACATCACAGAGGGAACTGTGAGAGCAGTGATTTCAGTCTGTATTTGTTTGTGGAGCAAACCTCCTCCTTTACTCTCCTGGCTGCCACTTTCAGCTGTGGTTGCCATAGAGTTGGTAAATCAGAAGGAAAAAAGTCCCCCTTGTACAGCTAGTTCTACAAACTTCAACAATCATGACAACTAAGTACAGATAGTTGTAGATGGACGGAAAGGTCCAGGTGCCACTAGCTCCTGTATTATAGGGGTAGACGGAAGGTAGGTCTCCAGATGTTCTGGTCTTCAGCTCCCAGAAGCCCTGCCAGCTTGGTTAGGGTGCTCCGGAATGCTAGGGAGAAGTCCAAAACGCTTACTATAGTAAGTCCACTCTTACTATAATGGGCCACTAAAGAGGGAAGTGATTTGATTGCTCACTTCATTCTTTCCCACTCATTTCTTTCTGAAGAATATAATTTGTTCCTGACGACCAAATAACAAGGGTCAGTTACTTAGGGCCCTATTAGACAGGCATAAGAAGGTTGAAAATATAAAATATGTCAAGGAGGTCAGGAGTTGTAAAGATACGCCTAGAGGCAGATGTTTTGATGCCAGTTGTCCTAAAAGGAAGTGTAGGTCAAGATAACCCCACACAAAAAGTAACTGAATGTTTCCTCTTACTTTTTCTTCTCTATTTTTAATCTTTCCAACTTTGCTTTTCCACGTGAACATGCAGAGCTCCATTATGCATGTGAACCACTGGTCCATTTAGGTCAGTAGAGGCCTGAGAGCAACTCTTTAAAGTTTCAGGTAGCATCTTTTAGACAAGGGCTGTAAGAAGATGAGGAAGAGAAATTACATTTCTGTACTGCCC